TTGCGACTAATATTTGTTATACTATTACTCTCTAAATTTCTTCGAGTGAGATTTAACTCAAAAGGAGTCAAAATTCACTCGGGTCGATAGTCAAAATACTGCCGAGCAAAATGGAGTGACATTGCACTTTTCATAGGGTGAATATTTGACTCCAACCGTAAAGTGATTGTTTCACTCGTTTGGAGTAAATGTTTAACTCCATTATAGATAAAATAATTCACTCGTTTAGAGTGAATTTTTCACCTTTTCTTAAAGTGAAACTTTCACTCTATTGTTACGAGTGAACAATCACTTTACGGTTGGAGTCAAATATTCATCCTTAGGGCCGGTTTCACCAACTCCGGTTAATTTAACCGGTCGATTCCATTGAAATTGACCAATCGCATTTGTTAATTTTGCTTTAACGACAAATGCGATTGATTAATTCCAATGGAATAATCGGTTGGTTAAATTAACTGGAGATGGTGACACTATGTGAGAGGTATATTAAAGAAATAGGTTAGACAAATAATTACACAAGTTATAAGAAAAAAAACATTATATTGAATTATTATATATAAAGTATATAACATATATTTATTAAAACGAATACAAAAGTACTAAATCATATAATATAATAAAGAAAAAAAACTTTTTTATATAAGATACTTAAAAAGGAAAATAAAATACTGTCTTACTAATTCGCCATGTAGACTCATCCCAATAACTTGAAAGAGCGGTTTTGCTTTCCCACCCCATGTTTCACAAAAAATTTTAGAACTGATTATTAATATATTTTTAGACAACGGTTATTCTCTAAACTAAAATTAATATTTAAACAAATTATTTTACACTTGACAAACTTTTTAATGTTTATGAAAAACTAATTTTAAATGTTAGAATACATACATTTTGATATGCATTTCGTCGATTTTATATATTTTACTAATAGTGCACTAGCTTATTATTATCTTATTTTGCAGCATTTTTATTAGCAGATCAAGGATATGACGTATGGATTGGAAATATGAGAGGAAATAATTACTGCAGATCGCATGTGAATATGACGACATACGATCTCAAATTCTGACAATATAGGTAAAACATTGTCATAACAATTATTTTGAGAGAACGTCAGATCTTAAGTTTAAAAGTCCATATAAAATCGAAAAACGACCTGTCTAAAAATTAGATATTTATGAAGCAAAATGATAAAGTAATCGTTACTTGTACTGAATAGTACTAAATAGATATATACTTACCAAGTGATATGAATATAAAGTCAGGAATTTCTAAAAGAGTGCATTATATTGCAACGAGGACGTAAAGCATACATGAAAATGAAAGAAGGATATTATATTTATATAACATGTTTTGTAAACGTTAAAATTTGCACAGTATTCTCTTCATTAACAAGATTTAAATCTGTTATTTTTCACTCTTTTTCTCACTATAAATTGATTTCGTGCATTTGTCAAGTAGGGGGAGAACGAAAAAATATGTTTGAAATATATTATTTTGAGACAATATGTTGTGAAATATATTATTATCATAATTTTTATTTTTTAGCTTTTACGAGATTGGAACAAAAGATTTGCCGGCCATGTGTTCGATTACATTCTCAATTATACAAAGCAAAAAGATTTATACTATATCGGTCATTCAATGGGGAATGCTGCGCTACTCATTCTTCTGTCATCAAAACCGGAATACAATATAAAAATAAAAATGGCAATTTGTCTGGCTCCAACTTTTTTTTGGATGAAAGTATCACCTGCAGTTAACGAATTTGCTAACATTCTTCCAACGTTCAAAGTAACTGTCGAAATCTGTGATTTTTTTACTACAAGTAGTAGTGTTTAAAATACAAGATTAAATAAGCATAATGTTTATTATTTAATGCGCTACAAATATTTGTTATCTAGTATGAGCTAATACTTGAATTCTTTGTTTTACATGTTTCAGGAAGTTCTACGAGAGCGTGAAACATACCGATGTTTTCCCACAATCTTTAGCGACTGTTACGGTAGGAAGAATGTTATGTAATGACAATACGTTGACTCAATTTATTTGTGTCACTATATTATTTATTATAACTGGTCCTGATCCAGCACAACTTAACATTGTAAGTTTTAACATATATAACACACGAACTTAATACTATGTCCATAATGTGCGTGAATACTTTTTATTATATTACATAAAATTTCCAATTATTTATAATTAAATAAATTTACGGCTTTAACCACCCCCTATCCTATTCTTCTAATTACTCATTGCTTTATGGCTTTTCATCTATAAAATTATTTTTGTTATAGACAACCCTGCCAGATATATTCTCCTATTTCCTAGCCGGTAGTTCTGTACAAACATTAGAGCATTTTTACCAAAATATTTGTATAAGTGAGTATTTCCCCATTCATAAAACAATATTTCCTTTTATAAAGCAATATTCCGGTTGATGTAATGTTGCAATAAAACATTTCTTGCCATTTAAAATAAGATATCGTTGAAAGATCTAAATTAATTTTTATAATTTTTTACAGATTAATTTATAATTGTATGTACATGTAATTATTTTTTTCCAAATATACTTTCAAGTTTTGGATATTTATAAATGTATGATTAATATCGATTGTTGCAGAGGACTTTCGAAACTATGATTATGGAATAGCTGAAAACTATAAACGATACAAACAGGCAACACCCCCCAGGTTATGATCTGAAAAAGATTACTGCTCTAATAATTTTATTTTACTCAGCAAACGATGTGATTGTCTTAGAAGAGGTAATAGTTCTCCGTTAAGTTTTTCATTGTCTAATTTTTACTCTGAAATAAAAGCAAGAGAAAGAAATATTTACACAAACATAATGAAATAATGATCATATATAATATTTTAACAATATGAAAGAATCCGATTGAATATAATTGCAAAGTGTAAAAGGGAAAACAGCTGATTTGTAACAATCGGATCTATTTTCTACTCTTCATACATTTAAATCATTACGTCATTAATTAATACGATTTCTTTCATCATGTTTTTAATTTTCAGAATGTATTGGAACTTGGCAAACGCTTACCAAATATTCTTCTAACTGAGGAAGTTCCACTTAAACTTTTCAATTGCTTCGATTTCATGTGGGCAATCAACGCGAAAACTCTTTTATACGACCGTGTGTTAGAACTATTACAAAAGTTTGATGCTGGCTAAAATAAGTTTATAAAATGAATCTAGTCGATAAATAGAGCCTAATCTCTCTATATAATTTGAAATGTTGATAAAGGTAGAATTGGTAAAAAATCAGCAAGTTATATGTTTATTTATATTAAACCAATTAATAATTTTTGAAATAAGTAATTCACATGAGACTAATTACTTATTATTAAAAAAATTAATAAGTATTTTTCACTAATTATTAATTTTCAAATAAGTAGTAATTTATTTTTGACAAACTATTAATTATTATTTTAATATTAAAATATTTATTTTTACTAATTATCAATTTACAAAAGAAATTAATTTATTTTCGTTATTGAAAATACTAATTTTCACGTAACTGGATATTTTTTTTTAACAATTCAAATTACCAATTTTTTAAGTAATGAGTAATTCACTTTTGCCTAAATATTAATTTTTACGTAATTAGTAATTTTTTGTGATTAATTACTAATTTACTATAATTATAAAAATTTAATTTGTTCTTATTTCTAATTTCGTGAATAATAAAAAAATAAAAAAATGGAAATTTTTTGCCGATCCCGGTTTAACACTACAAAATGCATGATATCAGTTACTTTGAATGTTGGAAGAATGTTAGCAAATTCGTTAACTGCAGGTGATACTTTCATCCAAAAAGAAGTTGGAGCCAGACAAATAGCCATTTTTATTTTTATATTGTATTCTGGTTTTGATCACAGAGGAATGAGTAGCGCAGCATTCCCCATTGAATGACCGATATAGTATAAATCTTTTTGCTTTGTATAATTGAGAATGTAATCGAACATGGCCGGCAGATCTTTTGTTCCAATCTCGTGAAAGCTGAAAAATAAAAATTATGATAATAATATATTTTACAACATATTTTTTTATTCTCCCCCTACTTGACAAATGCACAAAATCAATTTACAGTGAGAAAAAGAGTGAAAAATAAAAAATTTAAATCTTGCTAATGAAGAGAATACTGTTCAAATTTTAACGTTTACAAAACATGTTATATAAATATAATATCCTTCTTTCATTTTTTCATGTATATGCTTTTACGTCCTCGTTGCAATGCACTCTTTTAGAAATTTCTGACTTTATATTCATATCACTTAGTAAGTATATATCTATTTAGTACTATGCAGTACAATTAAGTAACAATTACTTTATTATTTTTCATTAATTGTACGATATTTTGCTTCCTCATAGAGAAAGCTTTGTTTTCGTAAAAAAAAATTTTGTTTGTTTTTCTGAATGTGTTCAGAATGTTCTAAAACGTCGAAAAATTGCAATTTTAAAAAATGTCTGTATGTATGTATGTGTGTGTGTGTGTGTGTGTGTGTGTGTGTGTGTGTGTGTGTATGTATGTGTGTGTGTATGTGCCAAATTTACCGAAATTTCTATAACTCCAGAACTAATCAACCATAAATCTTAACGAATTATATATGAAATAGGGGTAGAAAAAACTGAAGAATATAATAGAAATAATAAAAATTGCTAATAATCAAGGGGTTCTTTTTTAATAAAATTTTGAATTTTTTCAGAAATGTTTGTTTATGCTTTAATTTCCGCAAATTTAGAAATATTGATCTATTTCTAATTTTATTATATTTTTCAGTCTTTTATTTGTGTCAACGATATCGAACGTAAAGCTATCAAAAGCAGCTGCTATGATGTTATGACGTTTTTTAGAATTTAAAAACAATATATGCATTTGAAATTCGAATATACACAAGCCTGAGGCAACTTCACTTATCACTGCGTGACCGCTTCAGGGCTTCAGGTGGCGATGTTGGCAATGCTGGTTGTGACGTCAACTTCTGTTCAGTTGTGTTGTTGTAACATCGGAGCAAACAGAGCCGATTAATATCGAAGCAGATTAATATCGAAAGTTACACTCAAGAATTGCATAGCAAGATGGTTTTATTAGGACACATGAGAAATGTATAAAAATTTGTCTCCGCAAGTTGTTTGTAGCTTAATCAATTAACTGACGAATCTTTTTGTTATAACCTCTCTTTAAACCTTTCATCAGCATAGATATCAAGTTTCTTGTTAAAAACAAAATTATTAGGCAGATATATATGGTAATGACAATGTTACTGTTGTTATTTCTCAGATATTACCGGCCGTGCAACAGACACTTAGGCAAAGGCATTTCCACACGAGCACAGTAGTCAGCAAAACGCAATCCGGACGCTACAAAGTCACAATCAACAAGGACAGGCCACTGACGTATGAAATGGCAAATCCGCCTCATTATCTCGCTCACAGAAAATCCTGGAATTCTTGGAACACCTGTATGTTGTTCTTTTTTCAAATGAGAAATATGTATTTTGGTCTCTCACAATTTTAGCAAGTACATTGATCCTTTTAGCAAATATAAAGGATGGCAACAGACCATCTGAGACAGCCATAGAAGATATGTTCATTCGACAGTTCATGACGGGGACGTGGCACAACTTATTCGCGAGTGAAGTCATCATTAAGCGGCAACACAACATTATTAGGATAGCTGGAATTATTACTCGTGCTATAATGCCTTACAAGATATATTTCTTAACTGGCTATACCGAGGAACTCCTGAGTTATTGGCTTCAGTGTCCGGTTAAAGTGGAGTTGGTCACGATTGATAATAAAAAAGAAGTGATATTTAAGTATATATAGAAACCAGTATATGTAAATATAATAATAAATTAGATTTCTGTTAACAAACCAGACTTTACAATGTTCATGTTTTACCATCAATTCTACGTAAATATTTTTTAACAGCATGTGACGTGACTGTTATAATTTTATTGTTTATTTATTCAAATATAATTTAGTAATTATAGAAAAATATATGAGAAACACGTACGTGTACATAAATACAAATCTACATATATGCTACTGGAATAGCTAAATAAATTAATGTTGCGTAGCTCGTTTCCTTCGCGAGGGTGCGGTAATAAAATTTCAAACATTTGTTTTGTTTTTATTTCTTGCATGTCATCCATTTATTTTATACTTATAATAAATCGTTACATTCGATCATGACTCAAACGCAGCCCATATACAATCATTGCATCTTTATGATAGAAGAGAAATCATACATCGTACCACGAAAGGGTTACGCAAGTAAAAAGGATAATCAAGAGCAGACAGAGCATTCAAACATGACACAGTGTAATAATGTTATATATTCTCTATTGGAGACCACATTCTCTCTCCGTTATATGCCTTTACAACGCTTATGTATTCATCCGGTATTCGATCAGGATCGTGTAGCTCTCTCCTGCTGCATTTGTACTTTTATTCATACGCTTCACATTGAGTCATTTTACATGGATGTCCGTGATAAAGAATATTATTACTTGATCTCACTCTATATTTCCCGTGTTAGATAATAAATCATTAATCGAATTATTATCATTAAATAAATTAAAATTATCATTTTATATAAAAAAAATCGCATAGCGTGCATACAGTTGATATTAATGTGACAATGTAATCAGAACTGTATTAAGTAATTAAGATAAAATCACTTTCTCATACATTATTCTGGAAATGTGCATCGGCAAAACAAATTAACACATTTTATCATATTATAATCGTACATTAATACTACATATAAATTAAACATATTACATATTACATATTATATTTACAATGTAACTTATAAAATAATGCGACGTGAAGTTGAATTCCAAACGTGAGTCAGATTATTTTTATATACATAATAACAATTTTCTTTGCCGTCTAAAGCTTTATTTATTACTTTGTATGTGAATCAAATAATAAGTCTTCCGACAGGTGAGAAATTTTTGATACAAATGATAGATTCTCGGAAGAGAGAGAGGGAGAGAGAGCTCACACGAAACCCGATTGAAATTACGAATTTTCAAACGCGGAGATGTAATTGATCTTAGATGATGGACGCAACAATTGTGTTCCAATGTCTACGAATTTTTTTTTATCGCTCTTTTTATAAAAGTACAGGCTGAAATGTGCTGTGCTCGTCTTATCCTTTTTTTTCATATTCTAGTACAACTTAGTATTCTTAACTATGGAAGTCAAAATTTTGACGCTATATCGCAATGCTGTATAGAATAACTTTCTGATTCAATGCGCTTTTTTAAGTAAAAAATATAAAATTTGGAGTAGAACCGTACATCGTGTTTCATCAGAGTAGAGTATATGTTACTCAAAATTTCCGGATATTAATTAAATGTTATAATTTTTTATCGGATGCTTTAATATTTATTGTTACAAATAAGCCGTGTTTACCAAGTAGCGATATTCATAACATTATAAACATTATTTATTCATTAAAATCATATAAAATTATATTGTAATATTATATTGTAATCATATTATTATATATACATATATGTATATATATGTATATATATGTATCATATAATATATATGTATACACACATACGTATATATTATATATTATATTTTTTTAATTATCACTACATCGATACTAATAGTATACATAATAATGCAATATTATATAATAACAATATTAATAAAATTATTGTAATCATAATTATAAATTTTTTAATAGCCGGAAATTACAAATAAAGATACTATAAGTAAAAGAATTTACTTACGGTACTGATTTTGACAAATGTTTGCAAAAACTATAGTGAATTTACGAGATCGACGATTACGTATTATTCTATGTCAAATTGCGCGTACAGCGTCCCTTCTTTTATGTTTATATATTTATATATAGATATTCTTAAGTCGTTATATATGTAATGTGCCCATGTATTTATGAAAGAGAATCGCGGGCATTAAATCCTACTTATATCAATCGAAATTATATCGAAAAGTATATAGCTAAATACTCGAAAAGCAAGAGAACACAGCGTTCACATTGTACAAGACTTTAAAAAGTCGCTATATATCTATCGATTCAAGTAAAAATACCTACTTAATATTAAGTAATATCTAAAAAGAGAAAAGAGTACTAAGATTTGAACGCGCTGCTGTAGGAGCTCAGAACATTGAAAATTAATGTATTCAGAGAAACATGTTTAATGCATCATTTTTTAGAAGCTTAAATGGTGTTTACCCTCACTAACTTGAGTTAAAGCAATTTAGCGGCTTCTTCTTGACAACGTATAGATAAAGATTACGTTACTATTACGTTACGCTACAGAGTTTGATGAATCCTTATTAATCGCTTGTTCGCTTAATATCCATATCGGTAATAATACTAGTTCAAATCGACGTTTCATTTGAATTCGGATTCTCAGAGTTTGTTTAGAGCCATGTAATATAATACTATAAAGCTTATGGACTTTATTGCAAATGCTATCATCGCAAATGCTATCATCGCAAATGCTATTTCCGAAAATACAGTGTCTTAAAATGTATCATTTCCGAGATTGTACATTTTTCTGTTTGCAGAATGGAATGGAAACTTTTGATACTTATAGAGTATTGGTGAGAATAAAATTACTGTCTTTTGTGAGATCATACGACTACACAAATTACAATTCCATATACTTGTTGCAAATAAAAATAGAGAGTAAGTAGAGACCAATATAAGAGTTCCTTATGATAAATATGTTTGAGAAGTAATCCTTTTAATAAAATGATAAAATGAGACGTAGGCCAATAGCCTATCACCGACACTGTAAGAGCACTACACACACACAAAGCATTTTTTTTTAAATTAAAATCCGTAAAATAAGAAGGATAGTCCATTAGAATTATCCATTTATTGTCAAGCTTAGATATTTTATCTTATTCCTCGCTAATGACGTCATCTATCAACATTTATATTATAGAAACAAAATGAATACGTTGTTTTTGAACAGAATTAATTTCAACGATGTTGAAATTGCCAGAACAAAATATTGTGTCAATCTACTGTTGCAAAATCTGGGTAAATTTTACGATTTAAGATAACAATAAATTCTATTTCATTTATATAGATAGCATACCCAATTAAAAAATATCGTTACGATAATTCTCCAATTATTATTTGATTATTTGAAAGTATTAAATTAAATCGAGTGTGTCGTGATACTTTGTAATGTAATTGCGATTACAATAAACTTATTCAGAGAGATATATAGATCTATTATATCTACTTTATATAATACGCGTCACGCATTATTCCAATACGATATCTAGAGCTTTATTAGCGGAATCGTTAGTATATTACGCGCATGAAGTTTCCTTGCAAACGACGTCGATAAAAAAACATATGTACAATCTACCGCTCGAGAAGGGACGGGGTGGGAAGAGGGAAGGAAACTAAAATCAATCAGGATTCATCAAACTTTCGTTACAGTACATATATGCATAATTTCCTTAAAATGTCGCTATATATTGCCTTGTAGAAGAAACGAGAGAACATGTTATCCTAATTATAATGTTATAGCGTAAAATTTTTCTCGTGTTACAAATTCATCGTTAAACGTTGCACCTTTTCGCAATGATTTTCGTGTGTCGGTCGTGCGTGATAAAATTATTCTCATTGAACAATTAACGTTCTGAGAAGGCGATGATTTCAGAAGCGACGGAGTAGCGCGATAATATTGTACCTGCAAGACAAGAATTTACATTTATTATAAAGCTGACAAATATAATCAAATATCCCTGGTAAACATCATTACAACATGAGAATTAGATTACTGCACATACGAGGGTCGTCCAATGTTTGATTATTTAAGTCACAAATTTTATTTAAATATAAAATCAATATGTACAAGTGATACAACTGACCTTGAGCGCAGATACCTAAGACACTGAGGCACTTGACTTGTATCGAATGACTACCACCTGTTCATTCACCTGAAGAGGTTTTTGAGTGGGAAACGTATCGTAGATAATGGCCAACTGATTAAATAGATTGGTGATAGACTTTTACGATGAAGGCATCTTGAAACTAGTCGATACAAGTGCTTCAATGTCTGAGTGACTACGTGGAGAAGTAGATTAAGGAGAGTTGTATCACTTGTATTACTTGTATATATTGATTTTATATTTAAATATAATTTGTAACTTAAATAATCAAATGTGTGTTACTTTCTGGACAATCCTCATATTTAAAAAAGTAGACATTCTCTTATTCAAGTGCAAGTCAGCTGCACGAAATATACTTCTCGCGAGGTATATATATTTTTTTTCATAAAAGAGATCGATTTGTCAGTTCTTTTCGATTTGTCTTTCTACCATGTTATTAAATGTTAATCTCAAGGGAATCGGCTAAGATCGTCGTTCTGCAAAATCATCGCGTTCGACGAATGCGACATGAGTGCTCGTGTTACCTATAAGTTAAAGTATATATTATCTGAATCATTAATCTTGTCGAGAGCTTCCGTTACTTCAAAGCTAATATATCTGAAATACTATGGCGTATAGGCGGCTTCGCGCGACAGCCAAAAATGCATGAGAGCACATGTGTGTTTGTGTTACCCGACTTGCTTCGCTCTTCCTCCTCCGTTCACAAAGCAAGATGTGCCGCTGTATGTGTGCCGTACTTTGAACGTTTATCCCCGTTCTTCGTCATCTTCCTCTTCTTATTTTTTTTTTTATCATTTTACGTAAACGATTTTATTTACTCGTCGGCGACCAATCGGACAAAGTCCCAACGCTTGCTTTCCTATTCGCACATATTACAATTAATCATTACATTTACCCTAAAAACGCAATCCGTGTATCCACGTATTTAAAAAGAATTGAATAGCGATCAATACAACGTATACACCCATGTTTTTTTCCGTTTTCTTTTTTCTTTGCTAGAGTAGATTAGGAGATAATTACAGAGAGTAATCTTTTACGGACGAAGCGATGAAAATACCCATGCGATCTCGAATACTGCTGGTAAAATTATTGGTTTTCACAGCCGCTTCTCGCGTTGTGTCCTGTAATTTATTGGAGGAATAAATTTTTTTGCAAAGAAATCGCTTCTAATCCGAAGAATTTTCACGCGTTAATGATCGCCAAATCCGCCACGAAAGATACCATTTACCGCGAAAGAAACATAGGTACTTTCATGCTGCAAAATACATTTCCACACTTGATACACTAGTTAAGACATTACGAATTGTACTAATTTTCTTTTGCTACGTGATACATCATAATATTAAAAGAGGAGCGAGTTAAAAATGATCATTATCGTACTTGTTCTTTTCCTCCTTTTTTTTAAGATAGCAGAAATTAGAAGATTATCCAGATATTTTCATCGTTATATTATTATATCGGAGAAAAATCCGCCATCTCTCATCCCCTCGTTCAACTTTGTTCCGACGGTTTTAAATTAGGCCCAGAGCAGCCGGCAATTGATTTTAATACATCACATCATTCGCTTGCCATGTGAAAGCATGCATAATACAAAGAAATATACAAATACCAAAGAGATATGCCGCCTCTTTTCTCGAGATAATTAAAACTATAGCATAATTATCTACTTTATACAACATTTACTACACACATGTCTTTGATAAACTAATCTTTTACTTGTATAATTCAGTTGTTGGAATCTCGAATTAATGTATAAACTAAAACCCCTTCGCTCTTTTAAATGGAAAATTTTTTATGTTTTAGTCATCGATTGTGCCGCGTATATAACGAGATCAATTTACTATACTACAATATTCATAAGATACTCATTTACGAATAGTAATTTGTGCATGAACTTACGTATCTTTCCGAACGTATTCGGTACCGTTCACGTTGATGTTATCCTGCTTTATGAATTAACGCGACTATAATTACATTGTTTATCGCACATTATAAAAACTTAAAAAATATTTTTACGAGATCTGCGCATATACAATTGACAGACGAAAAATTTAAGTATTTTTGCATCTTGGTAAATAATTTTGAAAAAGAAAGAATTATGAAATGGTATACAAAGCACGATATTCATTTCTGTAACGCGGTTACAGAATACAAATATATGTATCATATTAAATTATTTAATATAAATTTCCATTATGTGTTCTTTAAAGCAAAAATGAAGCTATATATTAATTGCAAAATCCCATTGTCATATTTACAACACATACATAAAAAAATTATATCTACATAATTCTTAATATATGGATAATATATTATTGCTGTGAGAAATAAAATTAGATTAGAAGAATAATTAGAAGAATAGATTACATACAGCAATATAAAAAAAGTTCTCCTTATTTCGATAAAACTTTTTAGTGAATCAGTGTATATCTGTGTAAAGTGTTGTAAATATTGATTGCACGTTTTAATCATTTGCATTAAATAAATCGATAAAGAATAAAAATTGCAAATTAAGTTTCGATCAATCCGGAAAGAGACATTTAACGTGCAAGTACGTTTGCACTGCGATCATGCAGTCAAAATATTGACTATTTTACAATATTGTTAAAAACTGCTAATAAATTTTCTAACGGTAACTAAAATAATTAGAGTCTACCAATTTTTTCTTTTTGGTAGCTGCGCCTAAGGATAAGCAAGATGTCATGCGAATAGAAATGCAGTGGCGGAAAGAACGCGAAGACGTTCGCGCGCGAATGTATGAAAAAAAAAAAAAAAAAAATATTCCCTCGTGTTCCTCCGGAGGCAACTGAATTAACAAGTAGTAGATTTGTAATATAGAGCACATGTACATTAATAATCAGACCCAAACGGATACCTAAAATGTGTGAATGTAGAACTGATATCTCACTTGACGTTATGACAAACGAGTATGATGAACATCATTACATTATATCATACTTACAAATACACCCGCTACAATATCATCTATATATGTTTTCTTGTTCTCCTTATATAACATTACCATATTATATCAATATATACGTGGCCAATAAGAACAGATTTGTACTTGCATTGAAATTGTTTTAAGTCGATCACTCCAATCACTTCGCACAGCCCAGTATAGCATGTATGTTTTCATTATCTTTTTTGTTCTCGTTTTGTTTAAAAATACAATTTTTTTCTTTTTTTTCTCATTGTGTGGATGGCAGCATTCTTATCAAAAGGTTGGCTTGGAGAATGTTGTAATGACATTTAGGAAGGGGCGAAGGGAGATTTTCTTTAAGGTATGTCTCTCTCTCGCTTTCTTTCTCTCTCTCTCTCTCTCTAGTACATCACTACTAGTTTCATTTACTAATAAATGTGTGAATTTGTTCCAATTGTGTTAAATGTCGATATCACAGAGGCTTCTTGATCGGAATATCGTCGTTTTCATTTTCTTTACTTTTTTTTTGTAGGAAAATAGGTATCTACACATATTACGATGGTAAGTAGAGAGGTTACAATAATCTTTAGGCGTGTGGGAGTAAGATAGCTCTTAAAAATGCAATACACTATACATGGGCTAGCTAAACGCATTACAACACGGCTCCCTTCACCTGGTCGTTAGAATTGTATGTTCGTCGGTACCTCGTTGACAGCGAGCGATCGCTGTTGGTTGAATGTGCGGCAATGTATGGAGTATTTGTATGTGTACGTGTGTAACATTTGCATTCGCTATTGTAGTAAGAGTAATGCGAGTGATATTGCTAGAGCCAGAAGTAGAGAAGAAGTGATGCAAATCCATTTTCCCCCCCTTTTTATCTTCGTTACTGATTTCTCGTCTTCTTACGGTTACTTGGGCCTAGATCGCAGCGGCTGCTACCTGCGTGAGATCAAACCGTTGCTTGTTCCTACTGTCGGTGTCATCTCTAATTCCACTAACAGAGGAAAGTGATCTGCAACAAGAAACGAAACGTTGGCGTCATCCTCATTAGCGGAATGGAGAACGATACGAAATACAAGACGAAACTCACCCGATGGAACATGGGGATGAGGACATCCTACCACTTTAGCTTCTTTAAACCATTCTGGGCTCAATGGACCCAGGAGGCCCAGCGGCACCATACTTTGTTTCGAATAGAAAATGTAATCTATTATTCCCTTAAATTCGAATCTGAAAGTAAAACAAATGCGTTAAATATCCGTACACATTTACCGTGTACCAAAATAGTATAGACTTACGTGTAATTGGTATAGGGCATGATATCCTCGCTATAGGCGGATGCAAGCTTGAAAGAATGCGTGAATTCGTTGGGTTTATCGCAGCCAGAGATCTTTTGTAAACACGACTTGTATGCTAGATCCTTAAAATCACGATGATCGGCCGCCACGCGTCCAGATGTAAGAAACTCGATCACACCTGCGCCAGCGATTTATTAATGTTAATATCATTTTTATCAGTCACGTACACATGTAAATTGCATCATTAAATAACGTATAACAGTTAGTTCAAAGAAAAGCTTAAGCGAGATGAGGTAGACGCATTACCAGAATCAGGTAAAGAATTGAAGTCGCCACAAAGCAGCAGTTGAACGTTGGAAGAGTCAGGCTTGTGGCCGGGTCTGAACGACTGGCCAGCTTGGTCCAAAATGGAACGTAATTCATTGCTCAGCATCATCGTCTGTATCAGTTTTACATCGCAGAATTCGGGATCCCAATGAATGTGCGCCGTACAAACTAAAATTGGTTGTTGCACTTGTGCCGGATCAGATGGAACACCTGCAAACAGAAAATAATGCACGCTGTGTTCATATACATAGTGTATCAAACAATCTTCCAGGATCTTAAATCTTCTTAGTAGGAATTTACAAAAAAGAAGGGAAATACAATTTAGCCGTTTATGTGTTAGGAAAAGAAGAAAACTGAGAGGGTATAAATTCTCGGCGAGACGAGAGAAAAGCTAGTAAAAAAGAAATTAATCAAATTAAATTTAAGACTCAGCGAAAATAAGGAAAATTGAAACGTTAACCGATTCGTGATTGTTTACAACTTTGCACCATCAAGGTGTTTGCAGTAGTTTACAGTAGTCGTCTGTTGTCTTTTTATTATGATCGTTTAGGTATCTGTTTTTAATGTGTGTGTGTCTAGAGCGATTGGAAGTGTGATGATGCAATCTTCACACCAAGAATAACAATTCATATTTTTTTTCATATTTAGATACTTCAATTGGATATATTGCAATATAATATTATAACATTATAAAAATATACATATATCTCATATACGTGTTGCCAACATATTAATTATAATATCCTAGTATATAAAAAGATCATTATTTTTTATCGTTATTAAAATTTTCTTATGACTTGCATATTTATACTGTTGAATTAATCGTTTTGCCAAGATTATTCAAATGCTATGCAGTCATATTATTTATTATTACAAGTTTTCACATGTCACATGCTATGTAAAGAGCAACTAAAAATAAACATTAGATAAAAATTAACATTATTGGAAACAATATATGAATATTATATTCTTGAAAATAATAAAATGCTTTATAAACTATTCATTTAATAAATTAATTAGATTAGCCTTGCGACCCATAGTACCGATATTTGGACAATGATAACACAAATTAATATCATAAACTTTATTTAGAAATTGTATAACAAATGACTTAATCTAATGCTAGCACTAAACATGACGTATATTCGTGTGCTTTATTACTTATAAAATAAGCGTATCTACCAAAATATGCTTATTAAGATAATTCGGAACATTGTTAAAGATATAAAATCATGTATTGTTTTGACTGCTGCATCAACAGCATCGTTTACTAATACTCAGAGTGCAATTACAAAAAATATAAATAAATTTTGTTTTATCATCGTATAATCATTGGCACCAATCTAGGTGTAAACAAAATACGCTTCTTGCTCAAATCCGCTTTTTGTTGAGAACCGAAAAGTTTATTTGATCATTAATCAAGGGTGAAACTTATATATGTACAACCGATATATTTCTTACTTAAAATATAATTATCAACGTAAATACGCCGTAGAGAAGCATACACGGATACGCTATGAGAAGCTTCTGGTCCGACTCTCCCGACATCGTGGAGAAAAGTCTAGAAGCAGAGAGGGATGCCCAGGCGACGGCAAGGACTGCCAAAATCAAGCCTATCGGACCCCGTAACGTAGTGAAGACACCGAGACCTGCCAGAACAACGACTGGCAACAAGCAGTAGCCTAGTACGGACGCGACGGATGATAGAGTGATGTTACCGCTGCTACTCATCAGGGATTGTAGAATGTACATGAGCATGCAGGAGATCATGGCCAATCCATATACATAGCCGAAGTGCGCTTTGGAACCAGCTAATAGGAGAAACGCCGCAAGGACTAGGCAGAACGCCACGGGTCCTGCCAAATCTGAATCTTGCAGCAGGTAATTTGCGTCGTCAATTTGTCCTTTCCTATGGAAAGGGTTCAACACAGCCAGAGTCTTTTGTATTATCCGATCAGGATCGATGCCGAGCTCTTCCAGCAAAGGTGGCTCATCTTCTTCATCGCCAAAGCCATTGGTGCCTGAAAGAGCGCCATACATGTTTTCCAATTGTTTCTTACACCATTGGCCTGTTCTTTTTAGCTGAATTTCTTGCGCGGTTTATCTTTCCTCCCTTTCTTTTTACGTTGGAGAGAAAAAAAAAGAAAAGATGAACTGTACAAAAAGTTTAGCTAAAAAAAAAAAAACAGGTTTAATTACTATTTTAATCCTCGAACGGGTTGTCTTGATACAACAAAATACAATAAGCTGTCCTGATTCTGATGTGCAATAATGAATCTTCACAAATGTTCTACGAATCACATTCAAACGACACGCGAGTTCCGTGTTCAAAATATTGCCAGCTTGTTATTAAATTGTCATGTGCCACGAACGCGTGATGTCATTCTGCCAGCTCGAGGATTAGATAACCGCGGGTGAGATGTCTCGACCATTTTTTCTTTCTCTACCTTTCACATAATCGTCCTGCGTGAACAGATCGTTGCTGTAGGGGCTCTGCGTGGGATCCAGAAAAGTTTTCGATCCGTACGAGTAATTGCCGGGCATCTGCTCGTACGTCTGAAATTCGAATTGTTGGTTAGGTTGGCCGAAACCGGACGCCTCGAAGTTGAACTGGTCCTGCGGCGGCAGCTGCGGCGGCGGCGGCGACTGGGCCCAGTAACTGTTGTCCTGGCCGGCGTATCCGGACATCTCGACGTTATCGCACGTGTGCTTCGTTCTTCAACGAATTCTACTCTTCCTGTGTTCGAGCGGCTCGAAACAACACATCGATCCACCTTCCACCAGTTCCACCGTGGACGGATCGACGAATGACGGAAGTCAGCAGAGGTTAGGTTGGAACGTTATTTCGCTACTGCGAAATAACGTCGACGTTACCGATATTACAGCGCGTTTATAGCGACGCTCGGTAAAGTAACAGTTTGCCTGCATTTTGCAAAGAACGTTTTTCGCGAAGAAAAAAAAACTATTTTTTTTTTAAATAAATAAATAGACTATAATGTCGATTGTTCAAATGATGTGTTTAAATGAATGTTATTCTAACACTCTCTTCTTCATATCTTTCTTTCACTATTTCTTTCATTTTTTCTAATTTATTATTAAAATCTATCTTCTATTTCGAATATTTCTTCTTTTCTTATAATCCGTTTCTTCTTCAATTCTCTCATTTCTATTTTTTACTTATTTTTTCCTTTTTTTCTTTTGTGACGATTTTTTTTCGTTTCTTCTAGGCCGGTATTCATAGTCGAATCTTATATTTAAGATCGTCTTAAGTACGATCTTAAGATGTTATGAACCAATCACAGAACCGTATCAGCATCTTAAGATATTACTTAAGACGATCTTGAAATAAGGTCTGATTATGAATACCGGCACTAATGTAATTGTTAAAATCTATCTTCTATTTCGAATATTTCTTCTTTTCTTATGATCCGTTTTTTCTTCAATTCTCTTGTATTTTTATTTTTTACTTATTCTTTCCTTCTTTTATGACGATTTCTTTTCGTTTCTTCTAATGTGATTGTTAAAATCTATCTTCTATTTCTTCTTTTCTGATAATCTGTTTTTTTTCTTATTTCTATTTTTTACTAATTCTCTTGTTTTTTCCTTTCTCTTCTTCTTTTGCGGTAATTTTAAATATATAATCACATAATTTAACAATAATTTAGTTATACATATTATTAGAAGTACACTGAAAAAAAATATTTAGATCCAAGAAAATATTTATTTAGATAGTAGTAGTAAATATTTATTAGATGGGATTTATAAAGGGACTTGATATGCACAAAATTGCGGAAGTTCATCCTCTTTCAGCTCGATTCACAATCTCTCCCTTCGTTATTAATTGCAAGGGTGATTAAGGTGAAATGAAGCGGATACAGTGGTGCTCCGGTATCAAGTTATCAGTACACAATTAGAACATTCATCAGCGTTAAGAGAGTGTAAATCCCGAATCTTCCGTTCGGAGCTAGAGCTACTCGGCTCGAGCCCTGTAATAAGGCCCGTAAATTAGCGTCGCTGATACTCTCCCGTTGCGCAATTACAGCAGATTAATGCCGTATTTATTTTCCGGTGCCGATAAATTCCTTCGTCGGTCGGTCAGCTGGAAATCGCCTAGAAAACACTTTGCCGCAACAAGTACGCGCACAATGTGTTTCATAAACCAGAGAGGAGTACATTGGTTAATTTTTTTTTAATCCTCTGAGGACCGGCTCCTTTTTTGGACGACCTTTTTAGTTTTAGTGCTAGAACATTTTTGTCCTTGTCAGTGGGTTGAACTACGAAAAAGACGGCGCCACTCCAGCGCCTAATATTAGGCTTCCGGTCTCGGAGAGGTTAAAAAGAATGACGATGTTTTAGAACTTTTCAATACAGATTCACGGCACGTAATCTCCGCTTTTTTGAAAACGTGGATTTTTTTAAGTTCCTCAAACGCGACAGAGTCAATAGCAGTCTGAAAAGCTTCGCGATTTCACGGGCCCTGTGTACGATTGCTCTTTCGCTCTCGAACGGACTGATATCTCAGGGTATATAGCAATTCAACCTTTACTGTATATTAACTCACTCGTGACTTAAGTAATTCCCGGCACGTGGTAGGAAGTAAAGTTGCTCGCGATGAAGGAGATGCTAACGGTACGATCCTGAGATGGTCATTCGAAATTAACGCCTGAGTGCCTCTATTACGGAAATCAGCGTGTTAACCCGTGTTACTGACCTTCTCAATCGATTAATCTTTTC